CTGTTGAAAACAAACGAACCCGCGTGGTCACCTCTGAGGTTATTATCTTATTACGTCGTAATCCGTACGACTTTTGGCGTCGACTTGTAACTGTAGACGAAACATGACTACACCACTACACTTCTGAAACAAAAGAACAGTCCAAACAATGGATTACCGCAGGAGAACCAGCCCCAAAGAAGGCAAAGACAGTAAAGTCAAATGGCAAGATTATGGCCACGGTTTTCTGGGATGCGTATGGAATCATCTATATCGACTACTTGGAAAAGGGCCAGACGATCACTGGACAATATTATGCGTCATTATTAGGTTAGCTGAAAGAAAAAATGAGATAAAAACGTCTTCACTTAAACAAAAAAAAATGCCTCTTTCCTCAAGACAATGCTCGAGTTCACAAGTGTACAATTTCGATGGTAAAAATTAACGATTTAAAGTTCGAATTAATTGACCATCCACCGTATTCGCCTGATTTGGCTCCCAGTGACTTTTTCTTATTTCCTAACCTCAATAAATGGTTTGACGGACAATGATTCACGTCGAATGAAGAAGTCATCGCCGAAACAAATGCCTATTTTAAGGGTTTTCAGAAATCATATTTTTCTAATGGCTTAAAAAAACTGGAAGGCCGTTTAATAAAATGTATCGACCTTCAAGGAGATTATGTTAAAAAATAAAAAAAATTACATACACAAAACTTGTTTTCCTCCTTTTTGTAAAGACTTATTGACCCTCCCTCATAGTCATGCGTGAAAAGGATAGGATACTCTCTTAGTAGAGACATTAAATCTCGAGGAGTGAATAACTAAGCGATTACAAGAAAAGGTGAATGTATGGGAATAAGATTCTCTCCTAGTAGAGATGTTAAGGAGGAACTGTCGAGCGACTGCCCTCACAGTCTCTAGCATTCTCACGAAAACAACTATGGTAGTAAGTAAAGCTCCCTCAAGGAGAGAGCACACCTTTACTATTATAGCAGTTCATCCCTAAGCCAGAACTATAGACAGCATGTCCTCCCCTCCTCCTTCACGCGTCGTGGTCCAAAGCCACTCTGAGCCAGAACGAGAGAGCGAGAGAGCGAGAGAGAGAGAGAGAGAACGACGCCAAGCCAAGCTGAACACTCGCTCCCCTCCTCCACACGCTCGGGCCTTATACCAAATGTATGTGTGTAGCTAATATACAAAAAAGCATTCTCTAAGGTACATATGGCATTGGCTCTAGTGGTAGAAAGCTAATATGCTAACCCAGGGGAGTCGATTCTCCCGTCTGTCTCTTCATTTTTTTCAATTATCGCTTTCCATTCATTTTCAATGTAGCAATTAAATTATGAATAATATTTATTAACTTTTTAAAATACATTTAAATAACTTATACAGAAAGCAATTAGGTAGTGTCCCTAAGCACTAGGAGCCCTAGAAACCTTCTTCAAAAAATATAAATAATTATTAATATTAATAATAATTATTAACATGAAAGGGTTAAGCCAAAGGGTTACGGACCCCCCCCCCCCCGCAAGGTGGATTGAAAGTTACATTGCTATGCTACTTCTACGGGGAGGGGGGGGCCAATAAGTCTTTACAAAAAGGAGGAAAACAAGTTTTGTGTATGTAATTATTTTTATTTTTTAACATAATCTCCTTGAAGGTCGATACATTTTATTAAACGGCCTTCCAGTTTTTTTAAGCCATTAGAAAAATATGATTTCTGAGAACCCTTAAAATAGGCATTTGTTTCGGCGATGACTTCTTCATTCGACGTGAATCATTGTCCGTCAAACCATTTATTGAGGTTAGGAAATAAGAAAAAGTCACTGGGAGCCAAATCAGGCGAATACGGTGGATGGTCAATTAATTCGAACTTTAAATCGTTAATTTTTACCATCGAAATTGCACACTTGTGAACTCGAGCATTGTCTTGAGGAAAGAGGCATTTTTTTTTGTTCAAGTGAAGACGTTTTTATCTCATTTTTTCTTTCAGCTAACCTAATAATGACGCATAATATTGTCCAGTGATCGTCTGGCCCTTTTCCAAGTAGTCGATATAGATGATTCCATACGCATCCCAGAAAACCGTGGCCATAATCTTACCATTTGACTTTACTGTCTTTGCCTTCTTTGGGGCTGGTTCTCCTGCGGTAATCCATTGTTTGGTCTGTTCTTTGGTTTCAGGAGTGTAGCGGTGTACTCATGTTTCTTCTACAGTTCGCAATTTTAATTTTCTATCACTCAACACCATTTCGTGGATTTTGTTGACTATCTCGGGTGTACTCATTTCTACGGGGCGTCCTGAACGAGGTTCATCTCTTATTGTTATACGGCCGCGTTTAAATTCATTTACCCAGTTATAAACAGTCTTAACACAGGGGCAGACTTACCATGAACGGCGTTCAACTCAACTGTGATTTCTTTGGGTGTAAAGCCTTTCAATTGAAAATGTTTTATCACCGCTCGAAACTCTGTTTTTTCCATTTTTCAAATAAACCAATAACTTTTTGTTCAACCAACGCTCACAAGAAAACGACGTAATGAATCGAGCTGAAACTTTGTACGATATCTAGTTAGTAGTATTGCTTACCAAAAACATCATAATTTAAGCGTAACAAGCGCCATCTCTTGGATTTTGTAAAGACTTATTGACCCCCCCTTTTATCTACGCCGAAGCTCAGATTAGTCTCGCTCGTATTCCGGTCTCGCTGGGGACGTTGCCGGTATCAATTCTGCCGTCAGCCGTATCCTTTACGCGTGTCTTCTCAGAATGCCCTTTTATTTTTCTCAACTATACCTTTTTCAACACAGCTGTACACTTTTATATATTTTCAAGTACAATTCGACATGTAGCCTAGTAGTAAGAGCAAAAGTCTAAAGAAAGAGGTATTTTAACAAATATAGTTTATATTCTCATACTATTTTTTAAAGAATTAAGAAAAATGTAGCATGTCATAAATTGTCAAATTCTAATTAGTTTATTCTTATTTGAGCTCTATAAGTCCATAGGTCATATGGTAAATTTAGTCAATTATAATTTTTGATTGAAACATTTTAAATTCTTTATTATAGCTAAATAATGTCTACTGCGTAATGCTGAATTGAAATTTATAGAGTAAATTGAACAGAATATAAAGAGTTGACTTTGTTATTGTTATAGTCAGCAGTGTGTTTTGACACTTCGGCATTTGGTTCAGACCAATATCTAAATTAAAAAAGAATTAAAAACAATAAATATCAATCTATAAAATTTTAATAATTGAATATACTTTGACACTGTTTCACAATTACTTTCAACTTTTTCAGTGTTAGACTCTGTTTGGACCGAAGTCAACTCTTTACATTCTGTTATATTTGCTCTGGAAATTTTAATTCGGTATTACGCTCTAGATATAATTATCTTATATTTATTTACTCATTTATTGTTAGCTGTTCTAGCTATAATAAAAATTTTAAAATGTTTCAAACAAGAATTATCATTAAACGTAACATATTGTCTTGATTCCCTTATAATTTTTTAAATGATAAATTTTGTAATGATGGAAAGAAGGGAAATAGTAAGAGATGGAAATTCACTTAATTTGCTGAATATAATTAAAATTAAGTGAATTTCCATCTCTCACTATTTCCTTTCTTTCCATTATTTCAAAATTTATCATTTAAAGAATTATCATTTACTAAATTTACGATATAACCTAGATGAATTTATAGAGCTCAATTAAGAATAAACTAATTAGGATTTGATAATTTATGATATGTTTACATTTTTCTTAATTCTTCAAAAAATAGTATGAGAATATAAATTATATTTGTTACAATACCTCTTTCTTAGGACTTTTACTCTTACTACTAGGCTACATGTCGAATTGTACTTGAAAATATATAATCAGTACTTTCCGAGGCTGACATCAATTTAATATGCTGATGACCAAACAATAGCAATATATTGTACAATTGAGAATTTTCTTATTTTCCCTCTTTTAAACAAAACTAATTTAAAACGCGGAATTCGGACACAGTATAATGATAGAACAACCACAAGTGTACAACAGACCTAGATGCGTTACGAATAGGAGAAAAAATCATTACACTTTGCCGGCTGGGGCAAGGGGGGTGAAAAAGTTTGAGATGGTTGACCGAATGAGTTCTTAAAAGTTAGCACTCTGAATCAATTTTTTTAAGATAATAGATAAACTAATCATACCGTTAGATATTTCGTCTAGATAGCAACAACTTTTCTCGTTGCCGTTTGTTGGTTCGTTCACTGGAAATCCCTTGAAATTAATAAAATAAGTCTTGGGTGCTGGCCTTAGCACCCTAACCAAAGTTGCATTAAAACCTAGAAAAAATTGTTTAAAAAAAATTCATACGTAAACCAATCGTTAGTTCGTAAGACGAATTAACGTCACCCATAATAAAATCATGAATAATTTTAAATTCCATCTGCCCATTGATTAGATAATAGGTACTCGTTACTAATGTTACTAGAAAGTTTGATCTGATGCATTAAAGTCAAACAGCTTTAGTAAACAATAAGAGCGGAGGTACCTGAGGTAATTTGGGAAGCATGCGCACTGCTTTGGCATTTGGACGGGAGCCAGTAGTAGTAATAGGTAGAAACAGTTTTTTATTTTTAGTTGTTTAAATAATTAAAATTATTCATGATTTTAATATGGGTGCCGTTAGTTCGTCTTACGAACTAACGATTGGTTTACGTGTGAATTTTTTTTAAACAATTTTTTCTAGGTTTTACCGCAACTTTGGTTTGGGTGCTAAGGCCAGCACCCAAGACTTATTTTATTAATTTCAAAGGATTTCCAGTGGACGAACCAACAAGCGACAACAAGAAAAGTTGTTACTATCATGACGAAATATCTAACGGTATGATTAGATTATCGATTATCTAAAAAAAATTAATTTTGGGTGCTAACTTTTAAGACCCGACCGAATGCTCATTGCTGATAAAGCTGACACAACTAGGAGTCTCTGATAGTTACAGGTTTGCCGATCTGCATACTGGCTTATACATGCTTACTCTTCTATGCATAGTCTCCATGGTCAAATCAGAATCATGTTTGTGTTTTTTGCGGTTCAAATTGTTTTCATCTTATAACATATCGTATCTTTAAGTTATACGTCAACACAATATTATTACTATGTTTAGTAATAGAAAACGTTAAAATTACACCTCAAAAAATAGATGATGTAAAATGTAATTCTATGTTTTATTTACATTATTGTTTAGAATCTGGATGTATGCTGAGTAGGCATTAGTTTGTTATTGATGTGTACTAGCATCAAAGAATGATAAAACAGTAAGGTTATAAACATTTAATTATTCTTAATTTAATTAATAAGTTCAAAAAATTTATTTATTCTCAATAAAAATTGTTCCATAGGGTTTAATGTATCCAAGTTACATTTGCTGTAGGTAGTTAGATTTAGAAAAATTACTGTTCAATGTTAAAAAGAGTAGATATTGCATTGACGAATATATTTTTAATTTATTAAATTACATTAATTATTCAACAAAATTAAATTATTATCTAGACTAATACTTGAATATCATAAGAAACATTTTGAATAGAATTTTCATTCTGGTTTGAACATATTTTCTACTCATATTGTTCTTAATTACTGAATTTACTTACTAATCTGATACCAATACTTTATGTCTTGGAAATAAGTTTTATGACTTTTTATAACTGATGTGTGAATAATCATTTATCTGAAATAAAAATAAGATATTTAATTCAAATTTCTAAAGAATAAAATTCTTTTAAAAATTGAGTTAGAATAATGTATAGTAAGAAATATCAAAAATTGAGTACTAAAAAAAGTCAAATAATAAATGTAATGATTTAATTTTTTGTATATCTAAAAAATATGAATTTTTTTCACAATTAAAAAAATGTAATTTAGAAAGGGGAATAGAACCAAGGTCAATTTCATTCTTAAATTCCTAAGAAGTTACTTACAAAAACTGATCGTTCAAGATCAGGAGTATTTTAATATACATAAAAAAATTGTTTACTCATATTTAGAAATATCTGTTCTGTTGATTGTCTTCAGTAAATAATTTTATTAAGAAAAGTTTATATAAAGTAAATCTCAATTTATCGCATTGAATTACCTTAAAGATTTTATTAATAATTCTAATTGAAAAGAAATATATTGATTATGTCATTTAAATATAAAAATTAAATTTTTGATTTATAAATCATAAAAGAATACTGAAATTCATAAATAAAAAAAAAAAAAAAATACTGAAATTTCTTGAAATTAATTTCAAAATTTTTTAATATTGTTAAATTCTTGTATCTTTATTAGTCATGATAAATATATAACAATATTTTTATTTTACAAAGTTTTCTTTAATTACAGTACTGGAGTCCCAGAATTACTGGACTCAGTGAGTGATTTTCTTCAAATTTTTTAGATCCATGTAAATATTTTTAACTCATTGAACCACAACTGCAAGTTATTAATTGATGGTAATAGTATGTAAGTACATTGTACTTTATTATTAATGAAAATCACTCCTGATTTTTCTTATTATGAGTCTCTAGTCACTTAATTAAGAAAATCTGGGTACAAATAATTATGAAAGAGATAAATTGTATCTGAATTGTGTTGACATTATATGAAATGAACAATAAGCAGATGTGTGGCTGTTATTCTCATAATTATGAAAGCATGATCATTAACATAAAATATCGAATTGATTAATACATACTAAAGCAAAGACATTAAGTTGAGGATAGATATATTGAATTATATTCAAAAGACAGGTATTTTTTAAAAGCTCAGCGTATAAAAGTTCCATTATTGCAATGAGTGATGTTTACTATATATATATATATATATATATATGCGAAAGTGAATAAAAATTTTAATAGTTAATAGTTTGATGGCATAAGATTATTTCATAAACTGTTATCAGCTAATATTTTAATTTTACTAATTAGTTAAATGAAATAATTTTTTTTTTCCAAAAAAATTAAAATTAAATATCTTCTTTAGTCTATATTATCTTGCCAAATAGAGTAAGATGAATATTAGGTTAGATCCTGATAAACCAAAATGTTTGAATGATTGTTGAAATGATTCATGCAGATCTTATATAATTAATAGTATTGTGTGTGTGTACGTGTATGTAAAAATTGTGTAATGAATATCAAAAATATATATATATATATATATTTACGTAAAAAATAAATGTAATAATTATTTATATAATAAATATTTATGTTAATATATATGTTTGTGCTATAAATTTAAAATACAATAAGGTTTGATACCATTTTTTTGAAGTTTTAGCTTATGAGGAAATATATCATCAAAACTTAAATAGTATATTACAATAATCTTAAAGCTATACCCCCATATAGTATGAAATATTGCACTGAAAAATTCACTGAAATATTTCAGAAAACTTTACAGAAACATTGCAACAATTATTTTATGAAAAATTTTTGGAATATTGATAAAAACATGTTGTGAAATATTAGCGCAAGCCATCAGAAATGTTTTTCTGCAATATTGTATAAAAATATTCCGAGAAATGCTTCGGCAATGTTTATAGAAACATTCCATAAAACATCAGCGAAACATAGCAGAAGCGATTTGTACAATATTTCAGAAAAATTGTAGTAATCTTTTAAATAACATTTTTCAAAATATTTCCTAAAGATTTCGGAAACTTTGTAACGAAATGTTACAGTCTTTTCTTTAGGAAATATTTTATTAAATATCTTAGAAAGATTTCTTAAAATATTTTTGTAATATATTTTGGAATAATTTTGTTATTATTTTCAACGATAGTTTTTAAAAGATTAATAATTAGAAAATTAATTAATAATATAATTAATGTTATTTAATAATTATTTTCCAAAGTTGTAAAATTTTTATTGGTGTTCAAATATTAAGTTACCTCTAAGTGTTGCAATAGTGTTGTTGGTTAAGTATCAGCGAGATACCCCTTGCGTCCGGGGTTCCATTCATGTTGCGAGCCAAACTTCTGCGATTGTAAATTTTTAATTAAATTAAATTGATATAGAATATTATAAATAAATATAATAATGTAATACTAACATAATTAATATATAAATATCTATTCTGTAAAAACTGTACCAAAAGATTTCACAAAAATTTCCTGATAATTTTGTAAAACTTATATGAAATGTTTCATGAAATCTTTCTGTTCGATATTTTTGTAGTTGTTGTCGCACAAGTACACAAATATACATTTATAAGTCCGTACAAGGGAGGTTACAGAAATGTTTCAATGAAATATTACTGACATGTTTCGAACCTTTCATGAAACTGCAGAAAACTTGCAGCTACGTTTAACGCTGTGTGGGCACCGCTTAAATATACAGGAAAAAGGGTATTACTTTATAATATACTAGAAGTTCATCGCGCGCTACGCGCATTGTAAATCGATATTTCAATTATACATTGTTATATAAAAATTTCATAATATTTCATTAATTAAGTATTCATGTAAATATTAAACAAATTGTAAGTAAGTAAGGCCATACAATATAATTAACAGTACGTATTTTCAAAATTTAATTAATCTTGAAATAATTCCTTGTAAACGTAATTTTTTACTTTATTCGAATGTATTTGGCTTCCAAAATAGATTTTTATAGAATTAATCATCCACGATCTAACACGAAAGAATGCTACATACAATTGCCCATGACTAAAAACATCTTTTCGTAAATCAACGACAACTTTTCGGAAGGTTTGCCCTTGAGCTTTGTTAATAGTCATAGCAAATGCTAATTTAACTGGGAACTGTCTCCTTTTAAAGGCAAACGGATATTCGTTTTCACAATATAAAGTAATGCGGTTCAAGAAAACTATTTGTCCTGTTTTATCACCCGTTAAAATTTTACATTTTATTAAATGATTTGATAAATTTATTACTTGCAACCTTGTACCATTACATAGACCTTCATTAATGCTGATATTTCTTATTAACATTACGAAACATTTTTTTTTAAATGTAATTTGTAAGGTGGGTTTAAAGCATTCAAATGTTCCGGCATAATATCATCGAATTCACCATTATTATTGTTTATGATAGTATCAATAGCAGTATAAAAGCGTTGCTCTGTGTCATCTAATAAATCCGTGATTTGTCTATTGATCTTATCTTTGAGCTAAACTGACCAATCAAAATCAATACGTCAGAACTCAAACTAACCAATCAAAAGCAATAGAGGCTTCACTCTTCATCATTCTCTCTTTTAACAGGGATCATGAGAAATGCTTTTATACAAACTACAATTTAGTTACTTTAGTTTTATTGTATTTTGGTTTCTGACAATAATATATTTACTTATGTGACGTCTAGTAATGAATCACAGACCTGTGCTTAGATCTCCACTAGAGTCTAGGAAACAGAAAAATCTCAGACCTGTGTTCAGATCTCTCGTATTTCCCGTAGTTTTCAGGACGACTGGCAAGGTCGTTTCTTAGTTTACTTTTTCTACAAGTTATACGCAGTTAAGCGCCTTTCAAAACTTGTAATCAATGGTCGCATATGAAGAAAAGAGTAACGATTTTTAAGTAGCAAGCATCCAAAACTTATCCCTAGACCCTTGCGTTTCACTTCACCAAGCCCAAACCTATGCTGATCAAGGTGAAGTAAATAGATATAATTCGCGAATGTCTAATTGAAAGAGATAGCGTTTAGAGAACTAGAAATTATTTAAGACAGTTACTAACTTTTTTTTTCCACTGATTCGGTTCATTCTATTCAGCTTTGCGCGTTATTTTCTATTTTTAATTTTTTTTGATCATTTGAACAATTGGCTGGGTTCTCTTTCTACTGCTCGGCTTCATAGTTTCTTAACGGCTGAGAGTTATTGGCCGCTTGATAGTGGAGCTCCAGAGTGAGCTCTAGTGCCTCTTTCAGAGGCGCGCACGGCCTTTTTAACCCTTGGGAGATGGCAGGCGGAAAATCCCTTCTTCGGGCCCATTGCTGCAGGAGACTATGAAGTTAGCTCCGATTTTTCGGATTGGTCTTTCGGTTTTCTTATCCAAAATTTGAATCCTAATTGGCAAGAGGACGTGATTTTTCGGGGAGGTCGGTACATGACTTCGTAAACTTGGGCCTGTTTCTCGAGAGATAGCTCTTCGAGTATCGCTTTCTTATGTTTCGTTATGTCTTTATTAATAACAAGACACACAAAGCTTTTATATGGTTTAAATATGCAAAACTTATTTTAATTTATAATTATTACAGAATATGTCAATACAAGTCGAAGAATTATTCTTTATATAGCAAATAGGTAGTTTACAACTTTTCTCTTATAATTAACGAATATTAAATGGTAAAAGAAACTTAATTTGTCTAATCTGTGTCATTTCGATTGATATTATGATCATTGATATCGTAATAATGATGTCGAGCAGAACGGAGCCACCCGACGCAGCTACCTCGCTAACAAAATACTATAAATGTTATCCGAATACCAAAGTAGGTGCGGTAGTATGACTAGTGTGGGGGAATTTTTAACATACCAATGAAATTGTTCTTAAATTAAATCAAGACCATCCGATAAATATTATGAAGAGTTCGTTTGTGATCTGCCATAAACATCTGGACTTTGCCATAACCTCCATTGTACCATATGGAGAGCTCAGTGACAATGCAAGGAAATTCATCGCCTAACTAAAACTCATAAGTAGAGAAGAAATTAAATAAGAAATACTAAATTAAATAGTTTATGAAAAAACCTTGAAAATGGACAAGAAATAGAAACACCTACTTTTGAAGAGTATGATGAGGTTCATGCACTAAAAATAGAAAATAATTTGCATAAAGAACTACATAAGGAATTAAAGAAAAAAATGCACTGTTGAACGAATTATTAACAAAAGAGACAAAACAAACCAATAAATACTTTCATCAAAACTTTTGCTGAAGTAATAACCACACCCAAACTAAAAAGTAAAAGAGCCCAGACTGGTTGTTAAAAAGACCAATACTAATGATACTACTAATTTCGAAAATGTTGCTCATTACCTAATAGAAGATAAAACTATTCAAACAAGAAAAATCCATTCCAAAAATAATGAATTAATCATAATAAACTACATAAATGAAGAAAGTATTAACTCTATTGAAAAAACTCTTACGAGAAAATTACCGTCGACAATAAAAATTGATAAAATTGACAAATTGAAAAATCAACTGTAAAAGTAACGGGTATTCTCAAAGTTTTCACAACAAATAAGAAAGATATTGAATCAGACATTAACCAAAGAAACTTTAATCAGTATGATGAAAAATGTAAAGTATTACATGTTTATACTAATGATAAGACTCAATCAGTAACTGCAATAATTGAAGTAACTCCAAATTTATACAAGCACATCAAAGAAAGCAATAATAGACTATTTATCGGCTGTTAAAATTGTAGAGTTTTTGACATTATAAATACAACTTATTGCTACAAGTGTTCAAAATTTGACCACAATGGCAGTAGATGCAGAAACAAAGCCACGTGCATGAAATGCGCTGACAATCACACAGCTCGCAGGTGCAACAAAGATACACTTACGTGTCTAAATTGCACTTATTATAACAAAAAATTCCAAACAAATTGCAATGATAAACATTGTGCTAATGATAGCCACAACTGTGAAATACTCAAAGATAAAATAAAAAAATATATTGAAATGACAGATTATCTTATTCAATAGATTTATCAACGGTACTTTGGCAAAACAGAGCGCACTACAGCACAACAAAGGATAACTAATTTAAGACTTAGAATACCAAGCAATGCATGGTTCGCTTCCCTATCGACGTCAAGTCCAACGGATAAACAAGCAAACAGTAAGAAGAAACATGAATAATAATAGTGAAAATAATGTACTTACCAAAGAAAAAACAATTACATATATATTAGAGGCTTGAATGCAAATTACAATAAATTAATAGTTTTCATTACACTTGTAATGCGGTACATTACAAGGTTTTTCCTGAGCGTTGCATTGTTTGCAACACCTCAGGAAAGCCATTTCCGTCCCTTGCCGCTCCGTAACCAGTTGCACAAAATGAAAACAAACGCGCCCTAAAAGAAACAATTAACCTTTTTCATGCCCGAACAACAAAACCGGAGTTATTGGCGAAACAAGCTCGACGAACGCGATCCGACGGACACTCAGAAAAAAAGGAGCGCACCACGGAATAAGAGAGCGCACGCACACACTCACTCACGACCACGTGTTGCCGACTGGAGAAAGAAAAACGGGAAACTTCACTGGGAAATGCAATGGAAATGCATGTTGATGACACATGCAGATCCGTTACACTCCCAGCCACTAACACCAACACTCACGAAACACTGAAACACGTGGGGCGAGCAGAAAATCGCCGATGAAGTGGCAGTCGGCAATCAGCTGTGTCGGGCTACCGAACACCATCGGCGACATCCTGAGCGCCACACACACTCACAACGATATACACACACAAACACCCGGGAACACGTCACCTGACCGACACGGGAGCGCCCGAGGAGGCGCTCCAAAGACCGTTACGGAAACATGAGGTACACGCGCGAGAGAGCAAGCGGCCATTTTGAAGCGCCGAGATAAACTGAGCATGAGCGAGCGAGACCGACTGAGAGCGAGCGAGACAGAGCGAGACAGAGCGAGCGAGATAGACTAAATAAAAACGAGCAAGACAGACTAAGAGTGAGCGAGCGAGACAGAGCGAGCAAAATAGACTAAACAAGAGCAAGCGAGACAGATTATATGAAATGATGAACAGAATTTTATGTAAATGCGAAGATGGGGGCGCTACAGTTGAGATGACTTATATTATATATTTATTCGTAACTAACTAAAATTAAAATTAAAAATGAACATGAAAGAAATACCGAATTATGAAAATTCGCATGCGACCGACACACCCTCTATTATAATAGCGAGTGACAAATACTCTGATAAATTTAATCGTTAAATTAACCGACAGTATTCGAACTTCTGACAAAATTCGCTGGTGACGTCACGACCAATAAGCGAATTAGAATAAAATTTGATTTCCGTCCGCATAGAAAAATAGATAAGAGTAGGGGTAGATCTTTCCCATCAATTAATGCTAGTTAACTTAGTGGGGGAGGGGGGGGGGGATAAATAACGACGAAACTAGAAGAATCAAGGAGGGCGCTGTATCTTTCTAATTTACATATGGACCAATGATGAAATATTCGGAGGGCGCTACCGATATCCGAATTAGCATACCGACCAATAATAGTATTTCTTCTCGGAAAAAGGAGAAGAAAAGCGATCTTTGACCGCGAAAAGCCGATTCTCGTCCATTTTGCCGCTGTTCTTCTAGCCAGAAGGAGTGGTTGTGCCACCATACTTCTCGTTTAGCAGGATTAATTGCGCTAACAC